TCAGAACTAACTGGTTCAAGCTGCAAAAATTAAGCAGCAGACGCGATTTTGCTGCTTTTGCAGCATCCGGTCTGAACGTAGCATTAGATTGCGTAAAACCCATCTTGAATAATCTTTGACCTGTATAGTGCACTCTGTGGGGGATTTTGTATTGTATTAATTGTAATTTGGGGTTTCTAGTCATGTTAAAAGTTAAAAGTTCTTCGCATCTGGGCTCATATCTGAGCCCAGATGCGTTGTTCAAAGCTGACTGATAAATCCGCCTCCCATTTAGTAATAGGAAGAGATATTGTATCATCCAGTTTAGTGTCCTGTATAATTTAGACAGTAGTTTGGGGGGTTTAACTCTAGAAACTCTGATATATTAGTTGGAATTTTTAAACCTCCATCAATATGCTTAAATTTATTTCTAATTATAGCTATTGTCCTTCCAAAGAAATTTAGAGATGGAAGAATCTAGAGATTTAAACCATTCGGTTGATGGTTTATTTGGGATAATTGAAAATAGGTAATTAATTTTGGGTAAGACCATCATTTTAATTGATGCTACCCTACCCATGAGGGAGATCGGAAGCGATTTCCATCTTTCTAGGTCCTCTTCTATTTTTTTTAAAAGAGGGATGTGGTTGAGTTTTGGTAACTCAGCTAGTTTAGCTGACACAGTAATTCCCAAATATTTGATATTTCCTGATTGCAATTGTAGACCTGAGGGATTCTGTAGAGAGCAATTAATTGATAGTATTACAGAGTTAGACCAATTTATAGAGTATTCTGAGACAGAATATGTTCCCTTTTATTATCCTGCTGCCTGCAGTTTAGATTATTTAGATGAAAAACACCTGCCAGCCGCCGCGGTGAACCGCGAGGAGGTGACCCAGCCCAGAGGCTGCTGTTGAATTAAGTTTTCAGTTAGAAAAATAGAGCTGGAGCAAAACTGAGTATGATTGTGCTTTATTCAAGTATTTATTACAGAGTATTAATCAAACCCATCAAAGTCATCATCCTCTGTTTCTGAATTAAACAGCTGCGCTAAATCAGACATGCCAGTTTCCCCTTCTGCGCTGTCAGAGTCACTTTCCGTGCCGGGCGGCTCCTTGGAAATGATGCCGGCTTTTGCAAAAGC